CGTCTTCCAAATGCCCCCAGCCACTCTGGCAACAAAAACCAACATATGTCCAAACATCCCCTGGTGGGGGTGGTAGCACTTTTGGTAGAGAAGAATTTGAGAATTAGACCAAATCATAATTAAAAATGTATAAGCAGTGTGAATAAAATGATTTGGTCAAGGTTTTTCTTTTTGGATAGGGGTTTTGCATTTCTTTTAGAGATGTAAGAAATAAATTTGAGGACCTATGAACACTCATAAATTTTGTGGATTCTCTGTTCACTACTGGATAGTGAGGAAAGTGAACTGAGGGGAAGCTAATTTTAAAGTCAAAGTATGTTAAAAACACAAGAAACCTCTTAATAAATATTAAGCCATGTAACTGTCAAAGAAATAGAATAATCAGGTGAACTAGTGTTTTAAGTGTCCAAGAAGGCAGCTGCTTTTCCAAACCAGCGACACAGTTTACTCTAAAAGTGACCCACCACACACCAGGAACCAAGAGAAATGGGCTCTTGAACTTGTCTTATAGGCAAGAGCAGAGGTCAGGTAGAAACAAGCCTACAAAAAGTACAGTGACCTCAGCTCTGTAACCTCTCCAACTTGTTTCCTCATTTGAAAAATAAAAAGGTTGAAGTAAGTTATTTTGGCCACTGAATTTGTTATGGAAGTATAAAAAATAAAGTGACTGAGAGAATGCTGAGAATATAAAAATGCTTTTAAGAATCTAAAATGGATGCCAGGCACGGGGCTTATGGCTGTGATCTCAGTGCTTGGGAGGCCAAGGAGAGAGGACCGCTTGAGGCCAGGAGTTTAAGACCAGCTGGGCAACACAGCAAGACCGAACCTCTACAAAATCTAAAAAAAAAATTAGCTGGGCCTAGCGGCATGTGCCTGTAATCCAACTACTCGGGAGACTGAGGTAAGGGGATCTCCTGAGCCCAGGAGTTTGAAGTTTCAGTGAGCTGGGATTGCACTACTGCACACCAGCCTGGGCAACAGAGTGAGACTCCTTCTCTTGAAAACAAAAACAGAATCTAAAGTGGGAGGAGCAACTGGCATTATTAAATTATTAAAGGATTTGGTGACAGACTCTAATTATCTTTTCCTCATTCAAAAACAAGCCCCAAACTGAAGTAAATCAAATGTGAGATATATATTATTAAGTATACCTTACTACACTAAGTATATAACTCATAGATATTCTTACTCAAATGAGAATAGCTTCTGGAAGCATTTTGGCAAGAAGAAAGGTCAAAGGGAGGGGAAAAACCTTCAAGACACAAACTGCAGTTCTCTTTCCCTCAGGTATGATCTAGGAACAGATGTCTGCTTTGGGAGAATCCAGAATGGGTCAAGAGAATAGCAAATCATGTGGTCCAATGTATATGAATGATTCTAGATAGAATGTGGGATGTCACTGAAGAAAACTAGAGGTGGGAAAATGCATCTTACTAATATCACCTTGCAACACTACTAGTTTTTTCTTTCCTTGCCCCTAAAAAAGCTACTCAGGGTAGATTGGTAGTAAAACCTTTAGCCAGTGCTTCTCAACCTTCCCATCCAAACACCCTAAACAGCAGGGTTAGGACAGGGCAGCTCAGCGCTGAAGGCTCGTGGATGAATTACTTGAAATTTGTCTCAATTCTTGCTGTAGTATACCATAATATATTCGTGTTTGCATTTTTCAAATAAAAGTTGACCATCCAAGAGGCTGAGTGATGTACATCCTATCTTCACAAACTCCAGTTAAAGGGTTATAAAGTTAGAATATGATCAAAATACTGTACCTTTCATTAAATGGATGCTGTATTTGTCAACAGAAGGTGTTGAGAGGAGTTTCTTGGCCAGGACTGTTAAATCCTTCGATAAGGTTTTTATTACAGTCGTCCAGGCTGAGATTTTCACTGGATCTCTTGGGGAATGTGGGGGGACCAGTGAAATCTAAGAGATCTTGAAGTGCTCGGGCATTACCAGTTCCATTTTGGTCCAGAGACACCCCAGGAATCATTTCACTCACTGGTGAAAATTCTGGGATAGAGATAAGCTCTTCTTTTGAAACAGGACTAGAAGAGATGAACGAGAGAGGGAGAGGGAGAGGAGAGAGAGAGAGAGAGAGAGAGAGAGAGAGAGAGAGAGAGAGAGGAGAGAGCACAACATATTAGTTCTATTTGTAATATTTTTTATACTACTCTTTTAGAGAAGAAGGATTTTGAGTTAGAGTTTTTGTGTATACACACGACTTGGGTTCAAATCTGAGAAGGACAGATGGTGGACATAGGCCCCATGTATGAGAACAGGGAAGCAGATTGAGCAGGGCTGTGATGGCCAAGCTCACATTGCCCAAAGGGTGAAAGGATAAAAACCCACAGACACCAGCATTCTATTACAAAGAAGCAAGGCACTTACCGAACTTTCAAAATGGGACATTCAGACAGAAAGCCAATGCCAAAAGTTCAAGGCAAGTTGAAGAAGAGCCCTAATTAACACTGGGGGTCCCAGTGCTGCCATTCTAATAGTACCACCTTGGACAAATTGCTTGTCCTCCCTGCAGTCTCAGTTTCTTCGCCTGTAAAATGGGAACAATCGATTCTCCCTGCCAGGGCTCCTGTGAGTGTGAATCAGATTGCGCTGAGAAGATTTCATGTAGAACTGTCTGAAGTGCTCAGTGAAGGTTGGGGGGGCCATCATGAAAGGATCCCACCACAGCCCACCTCATCACTGGCAGCACCAATCTCACCCTCTGCTTCCTCTCTAAAGCAAGGCTTCCAATCCACTCTGACTTATCCAGCTCCATCCAGCCAAGCCTGGTTTTCTTTTTCTCTCTTTCTTCCTCTCCCTAGAGATGGAAGGAGGAGTTTCATAATTGTGTCAGCTATAAGTTCAGCAAAGAAGCAAATCCAGGCTTTGAAGAGTGGTGGGCTGAGGGCCTGCCACCAGGAATTTCGTAACAGCTAGAGTAAGGCTGCTGTCAGGTTCTTCTTTTTCTTGAGATCTTAGAGAAGAATCTAGAAAAACCAGAACTGCAGAAGCTCAGAGGAACTGTCTCTGGTAGAAATTCATCCTCCAGAGCTCCCATGGATCAACTGAGATGGCATCGTTGCTTAGTGACTTCCTTCCTTCCCCTTTCTCCCGAAAAACTCCCAAGAGTTTTCTTCTACACATCACATGCCCTAGAAACTCTGTTCCAGGCTCTGCTTCTAGGGAACCTGACGCAAGACACTAGAATGTTATAGCAGTGACAGCTTTCCTGTAATGTCAATCAAATCTGCTAAAAGATTAAGAAACCAACTAAAAGAAAGGGTAGTGTTTGGAGATGTGATGAGGCTTAAATGCAAAAGAAATGAATATACCTCACATCCATAGACTGTACTTCTTCAGTTGAATCATCCAGACTGTTGGATTTCCCATCAAGGGCATCTAGATGAACAAGTGCCCCAGCTGGCTTAAGCCCATTAGAGAAAATGTCTTGGGGATAAGTTTCTGGGGCAGCGTGACCCACACCATTAACTTCCTGGCAGGTGTTCAATCCATTGATTTCTGATTGAGAACACAAAGTCCTTGTGTTAATCATAAAATGTCTAAATAAAGTAACAGGGAAATATAGATCAAAGCAATTAATTTAATGCTCTGGTTCACTGATAGTGCAGCATCTTTTTTGGAAAGAGCCACAAATAACCCCACGTAATCACCTTCACACAGGGGAAGAGAAGACAAATCACATTATTAGTGTATGTGCAGAACCTCTGGAGAAGAGCCGAGAGAGCAGAGTCAGGTCCTAATCGTAATAAAACCTGACCAGCAGTTAAGCTAACTGGAAAGCACTGTAAGCCAGCAGCCAGAGTGCCTCCTATGCTGAGATTATTGGAGTAACCAAGGAACGCAGTTAGTTCCCAAGTGAGCTGACAGTTCCTGTGCTGGAGAGACATTCCCAGGGAAAGGAACCTGCACAGGCCCCGGCCAGCAGTCACCCTCTTGGGATCCATGGGTCTGTTTCTCCTGCAGGAAGTCTTGCGAGCCCTTGCTACTAAAAGGAAGAACCCAAGAACCAGACCTCACACTCACGCATTTTGTTGGGGACAACTGGTTTTGTCTTATTTTCCACACACACAGCAGGCTGAACCCCGACTTTGGGGTCTTCTTTCTGAAAACAAATGGAAGGTGAATGAAATGAGGGAAGGCTGACATCAAACAGAAACACAAGTGCTTTTTAAAAGCATCCGATGATATTTTGAGCCTGGCTAGACCATCTGCCTGTTCCGTGGTAATTCTTTAAATCTTCAGCTGTGTTTCCCTTATTCTTATGTATTTTTACATCAGCATCAGCATTCTCTTTTTTTAATTCATGGACTACTATGCCTCTCCCTTCATCCCACCCCCATACCCGCCATTACTCTAAG